TCTTTTTCTTTCTCTTTCTCTTTCTCATTCCCTTTCTCTTCCTCTTTCTCTTCCTTTCTGACCGTACATAGTCTTTTATATTATATGGCGAAAAAAGGATTTGGGGTGAGAGCTCAATCTCTTAGAATATGACTTCATGGAAGACCTGCGCTCATCCTTGCTTTTAGGGCGGGTTTGAGCCCAACGTGGTCCCTAATTTTTCCTGAAGCTGCTTCAGCAAAAGCTAGGCAATACTGAGGTAAAGTTTTCATCAGTCCAACCTTTTGAACTTATGAAAAAGTTTCTCATTTAACTTAGAGTTGAATGGAAAAATGAGTTCACCTTTGTTATCACATTAAGCATTGTCCGCTGATCATCATCAAAGTCAATGGCCCAAATCATTACACCTCCGAGGTCATGCTCTGTGACGTAGTCAATCTAAAACTCGGGAAAAAATCGTAAAATTTTTGAAAAAGTTTTTCAGAACGTTGCAGTCGCAGCAGTCCCTGAGCAAAATTAGAAGGCACTGCTTGGGAGATCTTAGAGCACGTCTTGTCTACCAATTACTGAAAATATATAACTTATACCTTATGTATGAGACTTTCCGGATTCTCGAATCCCACAAAAGTCTTTTTCTCAGGTATCCAAATGTACGGACTTTTTGCACCTTGATGAAATCTGGCCATCGAGATGTTGTATCGATGGTGAAGATCGCGCCATTGGACATCGCCACCCTAGGAGACTTACCATCACTTAGTAGCAGGATTATAAAATGGCTTTATCAGATCCACTTCGAGCAAATGAAATAAATCCTTGAAAAGCAAGAAAAATATTATTTCATTCACGAGAAGTTATCGTTTTTGGTTGATAAGGAAAAGTAAAGTTAGACAGTAACTAGTGATAACTTACCTCGAACTTGGTTTGGCCATCACTGGCGGTAGCTGTCCTCCACATATCGTCATTGGGATCAACGGCATCACCAACATTATGCCAGTATCGGCCATAAAAGGGCACACCCATGTTCAGCTGAAACAGAATCTTAGCCAAACAGTATAAGCCTCGCTTTCTCGATATT